TTGGCATTGATTGGTGGTAAAATGGTTGCATGAAAAGAGCATGAAAAGAGTCAAAATACCCCAAGTTTAATACCTTAGGTTGTCTTGTTTTAAAAAATATATATACATGTGAAGGGTTATTCAGGGATTCCTGACAAATATCAGTGTTGCAATTTAACTTGCGTTAATGTTGAAGAAAAATGGTTTGGAAATAGCAAAGTGCTACTTGTACTTAGTGCCCTATAAGGTTCCAAAAAACCTTAGAACATGCTAACATTGGGCATTTCTAAACTCAGGACAAAATTTAGAAACTATTTAGCATGGGTGTTTTCTGGCGGTTGTAGATGCGTAACAGATTGCGTGTCAAAGTTCAAAAAAGTGTGTTTTTTTATTTTTTCATCATATTTTATAATTTTCTTATAGTAAATTATATGATGGATATAATGGTATCTTTGTAAAGACCATTTAATGGTGAGAAAAACAGTGTATAATATGAGTGGGTACAGTAAATGAGTAAGAGGAAAATTACAGCTAAACACAAACACTGCAGAAATGTAAAAACAGCCCTGGTCCCAAACGGTAAGAAATTGTAAAAGTGGTCTGGTCACTAAGGGGTTTAAGGATTTTATTTTTTTCAAAAATATAAAAAAATTGGAAAATATATCGTACAAAAATTAAGATATCAGCATATAAAAACATCAAAATATTTTTTAAATATGAAATCATTTTACAACTTTAGCCAAAAATATTAAATCATCAAAAAAGCTTACCCAAAAGTATTAAATTGAGACCTAAATCTGAGTTGCAAAACTGAGGCTTAAATTGTAGTTGTGTAAACATTCTCCATTTCCGCTGTAGGCTCAGTTTGGCTATTTTATCCTCAAATTGACAAATCGGGTATAATGAACAAAACTTCTGTATTTAGAGAGTAAACCTGTATAGTGATGTTCTACTGGAGCAGCACATTGTGTATTGATGATAAGAGTAGCCAATTTGAATTAGGATGATCCCTCTCGCACACAACCATGAAAACTTAGAACTCTTATAGCAGCATCTTTTCTTTTTTTTAATTTTTTTTTCATATATTTAATCTTTATTGAAAAAGTTTTTCTTTCTTTCATTCCCTTTCTCTTTTCTTTTATAATATTTCCTTTTCTCTTTTTTTTTCTCTCTTTTTACAAACAAAAAGGGATTCACAAACATTGTTACAACAATAAACAATCAGACATTGGACAATAAACATCAAAAAAAAAAAAGAAATAAGAAAAAAATATGTATAAAAACATTACAGTTCAGTCACCTTCAATGCAGAAAGAGATTTACAATAAATCCAGAAAGGCTTTATCCACCTTTTGTTCTATCTCTTTTCTTACTCCTTCCCCTTCTCTTTCTTCACCTCTTCCCTCCTTCCTTCCTTTACCTTCTCCCCTTATATATTATATTAACAAAAAAAAAAAAAGCTGCCCTTTGCCGAGAGTTAGTCGCATATTGCTCCTAGGAACCTAAAACCATAATCTTTGACAAATATTTTTTCTACCAATCAGGCTCCGTAAACCTATGGCTAATTTAGAAATTTATGCACAGGATCCACTGCCCTATCTACAATTCCAAGATGTATAAACCTTAGTATATATTAAGTCACATTACTTCTTCCTAATTTTACAATCCATTTCTGCCATTGTTCAATTCGTGGATTGTAATAATTATCTTGTCTCAATATCCCTATTTCCATTTTACAATTATTCAAGACCTGATGTTTTATCATCTCCCATGACGGGGAATCTGAGGTTTTCCAAAATCTTGCGAGAGTGGCTTTAGTTTCTACAAGAATGTGGATAATTATTTCTTTTTTATCCATCGGAATTGTGGGCCATCCCATATGTAATATCATAGAACTACAAGTAAAATCAAGATCCACTTCTATTTCTTCCCTACAGAATTTCGCTACCTTTTGCCATAATTGAGCTATAATCGGACATGACCACCATATATGCACATAGTCTGCTATAAGGGAAGCACAACGCCAGCAATGATATTGGTTACCTGGATATATTTTTGCTAATTTAGCTGGTACATAATGCCATCTGTTGATAACCTTATAGTGACTTTCCGATAGATTTAAGCAATGTGAAGCTTTCATTACTGCATTATTAGCCTTAAGCCATTCACTTCTCATAATGCTAATTTGTATATCTTTTTCCCAAGCTTTTTTAGCTGGAAATTCAGGGAGTGGCTTATACTTATTACAGATATTGGAGCATTTAGAGACTAAATTTTTACTATATGTGATATTTAATAAATTTATGAACATCTGTAATTCCTCAGAAATCTCCACTATTCTGTGTCTCATTAAGAAGTATTTTATCCTTAAGTACGTAAAACTTTCTCTATAGGAAAGAGAAAAGGCCTGTTTGATCTCTTCAAAAGGTCTAATCTGTTGTTGTTGAAATAACTGATTTATTCTATTAATGCCTTTATTTAACCATGGCTCAAGATTAAGATCCTTAATATTAATAGACAAAACCTGCATGGGTAGGTCAATAATAATTTTATCTGTAATTTTGAGTCTTTTTTTCCAGATTCTCCATTGGACCAATACGTTATCTAGAATTAGGCCCATATCATCTCTCTCCCCTTTGTGTATATTCCAAAATAGAGCCATTAGATCAGGAATTTCTGCTCTTTTAGCTTCAATCTTTGCCCATGATTCTCCCCTAGAGCTCTCTTTCATAGATGAAATAATATGTGCCAATGAGCAAGATTCATAAATATCTGTAATATTGGGAACTCCCATCCCTCCTAGTTTAGATTTTAGGTTCAAGATTTTTTTACTAACCCTAGGTTTCTTCCCCATCCATATATATTTATCTAAGGCTGATTGGATCATCAGGAGCCATGGTTTAGGCATTTTGATTGGTATCATACGGAATATATAGCTCCATTTAGGGTTCAAATAGGCCTTTACAACATTGATTCTACCTGTCCATGATATCTCTGCTGTTCTCATATCTTTCAATTGTTTATTAATTTGCATCATTAAAGGCATAACATTATATTCTAGAATCTTAGCGGGGTTACTAGAAATCCTTATACCCAAATAAACAAAAAAAGTTTTTACCCATTCAAAAGTATATTTCGCTTTAATATATAATTTTTCTTCCTTTTTTATATTTTTTGCGAGAATACTTGTCTTATCTACATTTAGCTTGAAATTGGAATACTGGCCAAATTCATGAATCAGCCTTATCAGTTCATCTATTGCTGTTATAGGGTCTGTTATAGTGATTAAAACATCGTCAGCGTAAAGTAGTGTTTATTATAGCAGCATCTTTTCATTGTAGCAAATAAAACTAAGTTTACTGTGTCCTATGGTGTAAAATAAGAAGCATGGTTACAGTTAAGAAATATCATGACTGTATCAATATCAGCTGCAGCAAAAAAAAAAACAGTCAAGGCAAACTATCTCTAGATTGTAAACTTTTTGAGCATGGAATTCATTAAGCTTTTGTTCCTGTAACATCTTGTAATTGTCTAATTTATTGTTACATTTCCCACTTTATAATATTGTAAAGTGCTGCGGAATAAGTTGGTGATTAGAGTTGAGCAGACACCTGGATGTTTGGGTCCGTGGGTTCGGCAGAACTTTGAAAAAAACTTTTGGCCACAAAAATGCCTCTAAAAAACTCCTGGAAAGAAAAAATTAAAAATACAGCTGAGCCATAAAATAGCACTAGATGGAATCTTTGATTTTAGCTTTGGAAGAACATAAAGCAAAATCTAAAGCATGGCTGTCAGGAGGATCACCAGAATTATCCATTTGAGAGAGGGTTGGAGTGCAGGGTATTCTCTTTCATTGTTCAAACTGAGCTCATGCATGGAGAAAAGGCCTTCACAAGCCTCTGCTAATGTGTACCTAGTTTATACTAAGTGACCCATAGGTTGAGGAGGCGGTGACCATGGCGGTGGAGGAGGAAGCAGTGGTGGAGGAGGAGGATGAGGTAGCCAACACTGTATTTTATGTTTTTTTTTTTTAAATTGTGGTAACCCACAAAATATTGGAACATACAAATAAAGTAACATTTGTGGCCTGCGGTGCATTTCTTGCAGTCCTGATGCATGGAGAAATGCTCAACTCCTGATGCATGGAGAAAAGGCCTTCACAAGCCTCTGCTAATGTGTACCTAGTTATACTAAGTGACCCATAGGTTGAGGAGGCGGTGACCATGGCGGTGGAGGAGGAAGCAGCGGTGGAGGATGAGGATGAGGTAGCCAACACTGTATTTTCTTTTCTTTTTTTTTAATTGTAGTAGCCCACAAAATATTGGAACATACAAATAAAGTAACATTTGCAGCCTGCGGTGCATTTCTTGCAGTCCTGATGCATGGAGAAATGCTCAACTCCTGATGCATGGAGAAAAGACCTTCACAAGCCTCTGCTAATGTGTACCTAGTTTATAATAAGTGACCCATAGACTGAGGAGGCGGTGATCGTGGCGGAGTAGGAGGAGGATGAGGTAGCCAACACTGTATTTTATGTTTTTTTAATTGTGGTAGCCCACAAAATATTGGGACATACGAATAAAGTAACATTTGCGGCCTGCGGTGCATTTCTTGCAGTCCTGATGCATGAAGAAATGCTCAACTCCTGATGCATGGCGAAAAGGCCTTCACAAGCCTCTGCTAATGTGTACCTAGTTTATACTAAGTGACCCATAGGTTGAGGAGGCGGTGACCATGGCGGTGGAGGAGGAAGCATCGGTGGAGGAGGAGGATGAGGTAGCCAACACTGTATTTTATGTTGTTTTTTTTTTTTATTGTGGTAGCCCACAAAATATTGGGACATACAAATAAAGTAACATTTGCGGCCTGCGGTGCATTTCTTGCAGTTCTGATACATGGAGAAATGCTTAACTCCTGATGCATGGAGAAAATGCCTTCACAAGCCTCTGCTAATGTGTACATAGTTTATACTAAGTTACCCATAGGTTGAGGAGGCGGTGACAGTGGCGGTGTAGGTGGAAGCAGCGGTGGAGGAGGAGGATGAGGTAGCCAACACTGTTTTTATATATATTTATATATATATATATATACACATATATATATATATTTTTTTTTTTAATTGGGGTAGCCCCCAAAATATTGGGACTTTTACAAAAAGACAACTCTGTTACGCAGAGTAGCTGTTGACATTATAGTTGCGCAGGAACTTTGTTGACTCTAGAGAACCTCGGGCAAATCGCACTTCCCCGTGGTGGCGGCTTTGCATGCGGATGTCATCCATATCAACTTTCGATGCCAGTTTCTGCGCCTACCATGGTGACCACGGGTAACGGGGAATCAGGGTTCCATTCCATACAGGGACCTTGAGAAACGGCTACCACAAGCAAGGAAGGCAGCAGGCGTGCAAATGACCCACTCCCAACGAGGGAAGGTAGTGACGACAAATAACAATACAGGACTCTTTAGAGGCCCTATAATTGTAATGAGTCCACTTGAAATCCTTTAACTCTGATCAATTGGAGGGAAGTCTGATGCAGAGCCACTGACCCGTGCGTGCTGCAGCTGAAACTCCACTATCGCCTGCTGCTGCTTGCAAAGTCTCATGAGGCGGTGAGCGGTAAGGCCGAAGTTACGCTACAGTGCAGACAGGCGAGCAGCAGCAGGGTGACAACGCCATAAGCGTGCACAGCCGCTACAGTGAATGTCACATCCTGTTCCAAGTTGAGGATCAGTCTGGTGATGGCTTCTGGTATCAAGTACTCTTTTTACTGAAGCTGCATCAGGGTCCTGGTATGTGGCCACACAAACGCTGGTGCTCAACACCAGGGGGCGTGCGGTTACCCTGCACCAGACCCTGCTAATCCATTCCTCACTGTGACTCCTAACTTCAACATCAGGCATACTGGGTCTCGGTCGTCCGACCGCCGCCCAGACAGTGTCTGGGTCCTGGTCACCGGACTGCCCACCTCACTGTGAAACTACGAATGGATCGTTAAATCTTGTACGAACCTGCGCTCAAGTCTTTTATGGATTCTTTGATCGCTACATGTATTACTTGGAAAACTGGTAATTCTCGAGCTAACACATGCCGACGAGCGCTAGGTGATGGCCGCTCCGCTTTTGCACCCTGCTCCCTCTTATGCTGTACTGGTGCCTCTGTGCGACCAGCGCCTCTTCCTCCAAACTGCACATGTCACTCGCATGACCTTGATTCCATGTAAGGTCTAGGTCCTCATCCTCCTCCACATCATCTTCAAACCACTACTCAACCTTGCCCTCCTTGCCCACTGCAGAAAGCCACATCAGTTGGCACCTGTGTTTTTCCAGAATATAAAGTCTGCAAAGGACATATGGAAATTGTTTAAGAATTGTATCCAGTCAACAGTTTTCCCTGTAAACTGACCTCTCAGTTTGACTTGTGAGGTTATTGCCCCAGAATTACAATATTGTATAAGTAACTCTTAGCTGTTGATCACTGATTTAAATATAGCAGCTTGTTATCTGGTAGTTTCTAGTGTAGAAAATATCAATCTGTTTTCTATCACTTAGATCTATGTAACAAGTGTTGTAGGTGTGAAACAATATTACAAGTGACCGATGTAGTAAATTCTCAGATATGAAGTGAACACCCCAAATATACTATTTAGCCCCCTGCCCCCCCCCCAAAAAAATTACTTTTTAAAACTCCAATGTAAGCAGCAGATTAGCAGCAAAACAATTAGAATGTTTACCACTGCTCTGTAAGCACACTATTTGACGCTTCTATTTGACTCTCAGATATGAAGTGCACCGCAGGCCCAAAATTGTACTATTTAGCAGATTAGCAGCAAAACAATTTGAATGTTTCCAAGTGCTTAGTAAGTGCACTATTAGACGCTTCGATTTGACTCTCACATATGAAGAACAGGCCCCAAAATGTACTATTTAGCAGATTGGCAGAAAAACAATTAGAATGTTTACAAGTGCGCAGAAAGCACACTATTAGATGCTTCGATTCGACTCTCACATATTAAGAACAGGCCCCAAAATTTAGCAGATTAGAAGCAAAACAATTAGAATATTTACAAGTGCGCAGAAAGCACATTATTAGACGCTTCGATTTGACTCTCACACATGTAGAGCAGGCCACAAAATGTACTATTTAGCAGATTAGTACACATCATCTTCCACCCACTCCTCAACCATGCTCTCCTTGCCGGTATGCACACTGCAGAAAGCCACATCAGTTGGCACCTGTGTTTTTCCAGCATGTAAAGTCTACAAAGGACATATGGAAATTGTTTTAGAATTTAATCCAGGCAACAGTTTTCCCTATAAACTGACCTCTCAGTTTGACTTGTGATAGTATTGCCCCAGAATTACAATATTGTTTAAGTACCTCTTAGCTATTGATAACTGGTTTAAATATAGCAGCTTGTTATTTAGTAGTTTCTAGTGTAGAAAATATCAATCTGTTTTCTATCACTTAGATCTGTTTAACAAGTGTTGTAGGTGTGAAACAATATTACAAGTGACCAATGTAGTAAATTCGAATCAAAGTTATGCTTCGATTTGACTCTCAGTTATGAAATGAACACCCCAAATATACTATTAAGCGCCCCCCCAAAAAATTGACCTTTTAAAACTCAAATGTAAGCTGCAGATTAGCAGCAAACCAATTAGAATGTTTACAAGTGCGCAGAAAGCATGCTATTAGACGCTTCTATTTGACTCTCACATATGAAGAACAGGCACCAAAACTTACTATTTAGCAGTTTAGCAGCAAAACAATTAGAATGTTTACAAGTGCGCAGTAAGCACATTATTAGACGCTTCTATCTGACTCTCAGATATGAAGAATAGGCCCCAAAATGTACTATTTAACAGATTAGATGCAAAACAATTAGAATGTTTACCACTGCGCAGTAAGCGCACTATTAGACGCTTCTATTTGACTCTCAGATATGAAGTACACCCCACTAATGTACTTTTTAGCACCCAAAACATTTTAAGTTTTAAAACTGCAATGTGACAGCAGTATTTGACGATTCTATTTGACTCTCAGATATGAAGTGCACCCCACTAATGTAATACCCCACTAATGTACTATTTCACACCCAAAAAATTTACTTTTTAAAACTCCGATGTAACCGCAGTATTTGAAGCTTCTATTTGACTCTCAGATATGAAGTGCACCCCACCCCATCAATGTACTACTTTCCTAAGCTGTCCCTATCAGCGGCAGCATCCTCTCCCTACACTAATAAGACCGCATGTGCGTGTGGCGCTACGTGACTCCAGTTTATATATAGAGGCTGGGTCACATGCTGCACTAGCCAATCACAGCCATGCCATTAGTAGGCATGGCTGTGATGGCTTCTAAGGGCACACGAGTCAAACGCTTGTTGATTGGCTGCCCTGCAGCCTTTGAAAACGTGCCATTAAGTCGCAGAACACCGAACTCCAACTCGAACATACAGTGATATGTCCGTGTTCAAGTCCGGGGTCCAAAAAAACCTAATGTTCGTTACGAACTCAAACTTTTCAGTTCGGGTTCGCTCAACTCTATTGGTGATATTTAAATGCCAATAATATTTTTATTTTAATTATAATAATAATGCTATATTTAGATGACAGATAACAAATCATTGAACTCCCATCTCTACAAAGACTTAATTACACAGTATTTTATTTTCCTTCCACCAGTAATATGAGCAGTCTCCAGGGGTGTGCAATCATGAGCACCCCAAGAAATCTCTTAGATAGAAATATAAAGCCTGGATTTCAATTTATATTGCAACAATCAAAAGAAACAGTTTTTGACAATTAAATTACTGAGAGATTGGTAATTCAATTATATCCACTGAGACACATTACTGTCAGTTAAAGGAATCATCAGACACTAGAATTTTCAAAATAATATATAGAAAACACGTTCTTTCCAAATGAATAAAATAAGTAAATTTTAAGCACTAAAACCTTAATAATCTCATAAGCTCTTTTTAACTCTGAGTGGTCTCACAGCTATGTTTCTATTTGAGCATTGTTGGAAAATTGTGTCTTTCAAAGAACCAATTCAGGCCTCAACTGCATATTTTTTATAAGCTTTTAAAATGACTTAATTTTTGATAGACTAAAAAAACTAATCAAATTATTTATTTTTTTCAAAATTATTTTCATATTGATATTTTTGATATATTGGTATAGTTTCTATACACTCTATTTTTTATACAGTATTTTAATATTAAGAAAAACATGTTTTATAAATGTGTACAAAAATATAAAATCATTTGAAAAGCTAATGCAAAAATATCAAATCAAAGCCAGAAGAAGTAAAAGAAGTAAAAAAAAACAAATAATTCCTTTCTTCTGCAGTCTTGTGTGCTACAGGAATGGCCACCACATCCAAACATTAGTATGGACCTGACATTTCTGAAGTAGTCTGCCTGTAACATTAAAAGCCATCTGGTTATTTTTTTTTAATACATATGGTATATAAAGTAGAAGATACAGTTTTTCATCGATTTATTTGGGGGAATAGTGATCCTACAAATGCCTGAAATGTAAATTCAACCTCTGGGTGTCTGTTTTTAATATGTTAGATCATCAACTTCAACATGCATCACAATTAAGCCTTTTATTGACATCCATCAGAACAAAGAACAAAGAACTGGAACAATCAAAAGTATTAGAGTGGAGGATCATCCAACATTCCAACATTTAACAAAATATTCCATGATGTTCCATAATCAGTGCTTACCTCTTGAACATCTTTCTCAAAACTTGTCTTAATGTTTATTTCTCCCTTAAGTTCTGAGTGCAAATAAGTGATCCCTCTTTCATGCATGACATAAATCTACAGATAATGGTATTATAATAGATAACAGTTCTATAACAGTTAGATATAGGGCTCAATTTAAGAATCTGGTGCTTGCTTACAAGTCCCTACATAATGCTGCTCCAACCTACCTATCCTCCCTCATACAGGAGTATGTCCCGTCGTGGCCCCTGCACTCTGCGGAAGACTTATGTCTATCCTCTGTCTCCATACTCCCACATCTGATGCTCGCCTCCAAGACTTCTCCAGGGCTGCACCTTTTCTGTGGAACTCCCTTCTCTTCTCCGTTAGGCTTTCACCCAGTCTCCATTCCTTCAAAAAACCTTTAAAAACAAACGTCTTCAGGAAAGCATATAATTTAAACTGTTAGTGGATTTTCATTGCCACCCTCCCCCCATGACTCCTCTCCTGCAACTGTCAAAAATAACCTACTATGTTCCCAGTGAATGCTTTTCTAGCAATCTATTTTACTCGTGGTCACTACTCTATCCTAATTCTCCTTGACCTGTCTGTGGCTTTTGACACTGTTGATCATCAACAGCTTCTTCTCATCCTCCGCAATATCGGTCTACAAGATACTGCTCTCTCCTGGTGCTCCTCCTACCTCTCCCAGCCCTCTTTCA